GTAGTGGCAGTAGTAGGTGTGCCAGGTGCCTGGGCTCCGGCTGGATCTGCTGGTGGTACCTCGGCGGCAGCTCGCGCAGGTGCCCTGGCTGCACCACGTGCGCGTCCTCGGCCTCTTCCCCGGCCCCGGCCTCTAATGGCTGCAGTAGGGGGCGCGGGTGCCTGATCATCTCGAGTAGCACGTGTCCTCACCATCTGTGAGAGAATAGAAGTCGGAAGTTTAGAATTGATGTTAAAAAAAATATCGCACGACAAGGAATTCCAATGAAATGAAGATTTTTTCCTAAACAGTTACATAGCCTCTCGTAGATAAGCACAGACGTCTCCGTACCGATCAGCGAGACTCTAATAAACCGGCCTGTGTTTCGTGACTCCTATGAACCTAGAGCTCTGATACCAACTTGTCACGACCCCAGTTCGCCCTACGTGAACATGTCGTGATGGCACCTAGTCCCTATAACTAGGTAAGCCTAACAATACTGAAATAACAACCTAACTTACAGAATAATTAATTAGAACTGAACATATCAAAATAATAACTGCATATAAGGCCGCTCGGCCTATACAACTCAAAAGAAATGCGGAAGTCTACAACTCAATCCCAAAACCCGGAAACTCACGGGAACCACAGGCTAACAGAAACATAGTACGCTGCTCTAACTCCAGAATATCTAAACAACTGAGGGAAAAGGGATAAACTAGATACTAAAGTTGGAACAGATTAGAGACTCCTGGTCTGCGGACGCGGCAGATATACCTCGAAGTCTCCGCGTATCTCCTCGCCTCAAGGATAGTGCGCCTGAGTAGAGGTACCTGGATCTGCACATGAAAAACATGCGCACGAAGGGCATGAGTACACCACAGCGGTACTCAGTAAGTGCCAAGCCTAACCTCGGTTGGGTAGTGACGAGGAAGGTCAGGGCCCTACTGAGGTTAAACAATATAATATAAATCAACAGTATGAAAATAGGCAGTAACCGTGAGTACAGCAGTGGAATAAAACAGACTAAACAAAGCAATAACAAATACACAAAGAACGGAGCAAACACAGAATAAGTACAACTCAATACCAATGGTAACAATGAGGATCTCCCAGGATACCGTCTCGTAGTCCAGCTATCAATGTGGAGGGGGATCTATCGGGAATCTAACCCGCAGTCCCAAAGTAAATGTGCAGGGGGATCTATCGGGAATCTAACCCGCAGTCCCAAAGTAAACAGACAAAGGGGGGGGGGGGAGCTACCGGAATCCCACATCCGTAGTCCCAATGTAAATGCGCAACCACAGCCAGAAATATACCAAGAAATGAAGTACGAAATACAAACACAGATAGAACTTAGCCTAGCATGCTTCACAGAGTACATATAGCACAGCTAAAACAAATAAGCAAGTAAGCCAGCTAAACATGAGTCTCTAAGCTAGCACAGGTATAAGCTTACAGTTAAAATGAACAAGTAAACAAGAAATCTCAATTTAAATACTTCAAGTAGAAACTGGTTTACAACAATTAGCTCAAGTACGCACTCGTCACCTCACGTACGAGGCATTCAAATATTCAAAGATCATATCCTAAGGGGAAAGGTCCCCCACACAAGGTTAGACAGGCCACTTACCTCGAACCGGCTCAATATCAACTAGAAACCACGCTCTTGCCACGAGTATCCGACTCCAAATGGCTCAAATCTATTCAATTCAATTACACATCGTAAATAACATCGCAAACACCCGGTTTTGCTAATAAATTCAAAGCTACGACGTAAAATTAGGTGAAATGACCAAAATGCCCTTCAGGCCAACATCTCAGAATCGAATAATTTTCATATTTTTAGAACCCTCGTACTCTCACGAGTCTAACCATATAAAAAATCTCCCAAATCGGAGGTCAAATGCCCACTCAAAACTCAATAGTTTAGGCAATGAAGTTTTACCCCAAATTATCCAATTTTTGATCCTAAATTCGAATTCCAATGATGTATTTAACTATATAATGATGAAATATAACAAAAAGGGACCAAAGAAATGTTACCCAGTGATCTTCTCTTCGAAACCCACTCAAAATCGCCTTAAACCGAGCTCTCAATTGATTTTTCAACTTATGAAATTAAAACCCTCGAATTTCTATATTTGCACAGTGAATACCGCTTCTGCGGTCTAGGGACCGCTTCTGCGGTCCCGCCTATGCGAAACACTGGCCGCTTCTACGGCTTCTTTTAAAAGGCCAGATCTCCGCTTATGCGGATAAATAACCATTTCTGCGGTACCGCTTAGGCGGAAAATCAACCGCTTCTGCTGTTCCTGAGGGGGGGACCAAACTCGCTTCTGCGATGAGGGAGCCGCCTCTGCGGCTCCACTTTTGCGGTTCCCAAGCCGCAGAAGCGGAAATACCAGAAGGAACAAAAATACCAGCTGCTGCAAACTTAGAAATTTCCTCCGTTATCCACCCGAAATCATCCCGAGGCCCCCGGGACCTCAACCAAAAGCACCAATACCACCTAAAACCTTATTCGAACTTGTACCAATCCTTAAAATACCTAAAACAACACCGGAAACCCGATTTAATCAATGATTCAAGCCTAAGAACTTCAAATTTCTTCCAAATACGCTTTCGATCAAAAATCTAACCAAAACACGTCCGAATGACCTGAAATTTTGCACTCACATCCCAAATGACATGACAGAGCTACTGCAACTTCCGGAATTCCATTCCGACCCTCGGATCAAAGACTCACTATCGGACCGAAAACTTCAAAAATACAAACTTCGGCATTTTAAGCCTAAATGAGCTACGGACTTCCAAAATTCATTCCGAACACGCTCCCAACCCCGAAATCACCTAACGGAGCTAACGGAACCATCAGATTTCCATTCCGAGGTCGTCTTCACACTGTTCCGACTACGGACCATTTTTCAACACTTAAGCTCTCATTTAGGGACTAAGTGTCCCAAAACACTCCGAATCCTAATACCGAACGTCCCGGCAAACCAAAATAGCAGAAATGAACTTAGGGGAAGTAGTTAAGGGGGGATCGGGGCGTAAATTCCAAAAACGACCGGCCGGGTCGTTACAGGCCACTGGGTTTTGGGGTTGTTTACGTTTATAGATAGGTGTATCCACATCTATGACTCTAACCGTGGAGCTATTAATGATAGACTTGCTTTGGATGCTGCATTACCTTATGCAATTTTGATACATTACTTCTTGAAGAGTTCTGATTTTTATGTCGAGAAGAAGGGCATTGATTGGAACAGTGGTGCATATACTGATAAATCCCATTCTGATGCTTTGCAAATTAATCTGGTTAATAATGTGCCACAATAGATCAAATGGTAGGTTAATCTCAGTTGTTTTACTATTTTACTATTTGTGTACCTATTTACAGTAATGTACAGAGAATCTAATTTTTTTTAATTACAGTGATTGTGGTGCTTTTGTTGCTGGCTTTGCTGAGTATTTCATCCTGGGTAAGGAAATTTGAAAAGATAATTTTTAACATTGAGACACTTCGAACCAGGTGGGGATCTCTGTTGTGGGATTATCGAAGGAAAAAACAACAGTCCGGTGCAATTAGTGGTGATGAAATCACAGGGAGACTTTTCAGGAAGAGGATGAAGGGACGACCGAGAAAGTAATTTTGTTTTTTTCATTTCAATGTAGTTTTGCTATGTATCAAGAGTTGTTGCCTAGTTTTGTCTAAGTACTACTCTGCTAATTGTGAGATAACCTTAAAGGATATTATAGATGATTTTATTTTTGTGTAATTTGTGGTAGTCATTACACATTGTGGCAGTGAATGAATTACATTTTAATGAATATTTCAGTTGCTTTTTCCTTTAACAAAGTATGTATTTTCGTTATTGTTGCAGTTTTGTCAATGTTGCAGGGTTTATACATATGTATACAATAATATGCATAGCTATACAATTTTATACAAACTTATACTCTCATTTATACGTCTGTATAAATATAATAACATTGATTGTTTGCAGTTCTGTTTTGCATTTTTACAATCTATCAATATATTTAGCACCATTAAAAACAACAACACACTATTATTGGATAATCAAAACATGTATAATGAAATATATTTAAAATAATTACAACATATAGTGTAAATTGTAATTCTTTATTGACATTTGTAACTCAATTGCTTGTGAAACTTAACTACTCAATATTTGTAACTTTATTGTTTGTGAAACTTAACTACTCAACATGACAACGTATGTAATAGGAAGTGTTATGTTTCCAACTATTTATTTTGGTTGATTCCTACATGTTTTTCTATTGTGACCACTTTGTCCACACACAGAACATAAAAACGCCCTCTTAGACTCTTTCTCTGAAGTAGGTTTGAGTCTTTCCCTTCTTGGCCTTCCTGCATTTCTTCTCCCTTTAGGTGGTAAGACCACATCTTCCAGCACCTCTATTGGGATTACCCATAAACTCTCATATGGCGTCGGATTCATTGGGAATTCATAAGTTCTAAGGAGGTTATCTTTCTTGTAGTAAAAGAGCAATACTGGCCAGGTTTCAGCTCCTGGTTCTTCAAAACCGCTCAAGCATGCGAACATGGAGGTTCATCCATTTAAAATTTGCCGTAACTGCATGTTCCCTCTTCAAGGCATACTATGTGTAGCCTTAACCCTTCAAGCACAATATATAACTGCTCCGTGGTAGGCCTCACCTGCAAAAGTTTTTTTTTAAAAAAAAAAGTTAAAGCACATTATACATTATTATACAGCGTTATACATCCTTATACAAGTAGTAAAATGCAAGTCAGCGGTGTCATGCATCATTATATTTGATTTGTTTTACCGTCATTTGCTCCGATGCAATCAGATATTTCCGAAGAAGTTTGTCGTACTTTTCGCCAAGCTCTGTAGATGTCTCCATTGCACTTCTTCTGTTTTTGTTGTTCCGCTGTTGTAGTAAATTTGTCATGTACTCCAGCAATAGCATTACCGATAACTCTCTAGCATCTTTGTTTGCTGCATTAATTGACTCTGCAATATTGGAAGTCATTACCATCAACCTTTTCACTTTGGAGTATGCCCTAGACCACCTTTCGTAGCCAATTTCAAACAAGTAAGGCTGCACCCTCAGATCAATTTTGCACATCTCTGTCATATGGTGGTCAAACTTCTCTATCGTGTAAGCTCTAGCCAAAGCGAAGAAGATATCCTTCAATTGTTTGTGATGTTTCTTGAATGTGCTTGACATTCTACCACAAGTGAAAGTGTGAAACATGCAAATACAATGTGGAACTTCCGGGTACACAGCTTTTGTGGCATTGAAGATGCTTTCATTTCTATCTGAAACTATACACATCCCATCTCTAACACCAAAAGTACCCTTTATCTGGACGAAGAACCACTCCCAAGATTTATTATTCTCTGAATCTACTATGCAAGTGGAAGGATTTTTCCTGTTTATACAAAATAGATATTAGGATTCAGACAATTATACAAATCTTATACACAGTTATACACGAATATACAACTTTATACATTTTGCAAAATTTATAAATACAGCAACTCTGAAATCCTATACACGTTTATGCATGAAACTACAATATTATACAAACTGCAGAAACAAGGTAGATACAGTCAACTCACCAGCTCCATCCCGTGTCCAAGCAATCAATATGGTACCCTTATATGCTGCTTTAAGAAAACTTCTGTCAACAACCATTATCGATCTGCAATGCTCCCAACCCTTGATAGATGCATATAGCGAAACATATGCATAAAGAAAGCATCCATCTTCTGATTTGTGCAACTTTGTAACCGTTCCTGGATTTGTATGCTCCAACATATACAAATACCTCGGCAACTCCTTATATGAATCGCTCGGATTCCCTCTTATCATTGCCATTGCTATCTCTTTAGCTCTCCGTGCTTTAATGTAGGTCACTTCAACCCCGTGTTGCTTTTGTATGTCCTCTATTACATCATTTGCGGTGTAAACTTTTTTTGGATTAACATACTTGTCCTTGACTATACTAGCAATTACATCCGAAGTAGCTTGACGTTGTGTTAAGTATCTTTCACCATAGCCGCATGTGTGATTATTATTGTAACTTCTCACATTGAATATGTTTGCCTTGTAAACGACAGAAGATTTGAAACTCCAAGCACAATTGTCATCCACACACATAAGGTGATACCTAGGATTAAAGATCATTCAACTTCTAAATACACTTGTATACAAAAACATAACTAGATATATACTAAGTTTAATACCTATATACAAATATATACTACTTTATACATATTCATACATATATATAACGTAATATACAACTATTGCCATACCTTATTGCGCTTGATCTCTTCACCTTCAATTGGAACCTCTCGTACAGCCAAGTTCTTCATCACACTGACAACTGTCTCTTTATATTTATAAGGCAGAATAGCCTGGGAGACACTTGTACTTATTCCGGTTTGTCATCCCGGTCCCTACACTTCATAAAGTTTCATTCAGACACTTCAACTTAATCAAAACAAGACTTTTAAACCCTTCTGACCGTTGACCGAGCTTATGTGGCATTAATATGGCTGAAGTGGACAAAATGAGTGATTTACACGCACATTAGGTGCGTGAGCTGATGATTCTTTTTTATTAAAAGAATAAAAATAAATAAATAAATAAATAAAAATACACTAGCAGCGCCTCCCCCTTCGTTGTGCACCCCATCCCCCCCCTATTCTTCTTCTTCGCATCCCTCCCCCTTCATTCTGCCCCCCCTCCCCCCTCTTATTCTTCTTCAGCCCCCCTCCCCCTTCGTTCTGACCCCCCCTCTTCTCCTCATCNTCTTCTTTAGATCCCCTCCCTTCCCCTTTTTCTTCATCCCTTCTTTTATTAGATTTTCTCCTTAGTGTGTATTTGTTCTTCCATCATGTCATCTTCCCCTTCTCTATGACTCCTCCATTTTTTCCGGTGATTTTAGCTTTCAAATTTTTTCACAGACCTTCCAAATTGGGGTAGAGGAATAAGTCAAAATTCAAAAGACTTAATTCTCTACTCATGTATTTTTCATGGATAGATAACTTTCTTTAAAAGAGGAGTGAAGGAAGTAGTGGTATTCATGGTGGAGGAGCCATGGTAGGTGGGTTATTCTTTTAAGAAGGTTGAGTGGGGTTTGAAGAAGGGAGGAGGGGTTTTCTTTAATTTTAATTTAATTTTTTGCTTTTTTATTTTATTTTTTCTTTATGAAATTAAAATTTTGTTAAATAATATTATTTTGGCGTAGAATCTGATGTGGATGCTGATTTGTCATCCACGTCAAGCAAGTGAGCATCACACGATTCCGGAGGTGTTTAAAAGTCTTGTTTTGATTAAGTTGAAGTGCCTGGATGAAACTTTATGCATTGTAGCGACCGGGATGACAAACCGGAACAAGTACAAGTGTCTCCTAGGCTATTCTGCCTATTTATAAACTTGATCCTTCTCAACAAATTCGTTTAATGTATTATCTATTATACCCGTGTTTTCAGTAAATTTCGTGTTTTCAATAAATTCGATATCAGGTATAATCTTAGTGCTATCAATTGTGGATACATCTATACAATTGGAACTTGTAGCAACCAAACGATTATCATAAATCTCTTTCACAGTCACATACAACGGTATTCAGTTAAATTCAAATTTTTCTTCTTTAATTCGATATACACCTTAACACCAGTATCGTTGTAAATCAGGATCGGTGGCAAACCATCCTTTGGGAGAAAGTTAATCTCTAATGTGTTTAACTCACAATCGATTCTAATTTGTTTCGAAATAGTTTCAAATAAATTATTGTAGCTGAATGTCGACTCGATTATTATACAACCGCTGACGAAATTGATAAACTTGTTGTCTTCCCATTCACCACTATGAAGAACGTAAACTGGAAAAAGCTCCATCGAACAAAAAGTTGAAATGAAAATTGCAGCAAAAATGAGAATCGCATTGATTACAGCAAAAAAAATTTACTTTTCGTGTTTGATTTGCTGTTAATTCGAGATGAAGAAGAATTTCTAGTTTTTTTGAGTTGCATTGACTGTAAGATCACGTTTTTGTAGATTTGGTGAAGAAGAATGGAAAGAATGAGAGAAAATCCCGCTAAAAGATACAAGATCCCGCTTCTGAATTCCAAAAAATGGAAATAATGCTCCTTTTTTCGGATACGAGCCTGTTATTTTTGGGCTACTCAATTGTAAATTGAAATATGGGCTATAAAGTTAAAAAGTAGGCAACCTAGCTGTTTTAATATGAAATTTTCCCTTAAAAATACCCCTATTTTTAACGGAATGCCATGTGGCACTTCAGGATTAAAGAGACTCATCCTAAATTTTAATTAACACGGATCCTTACCCCATAACTCGACCCAGCTACTCCCACTAAAAAGAGCCCACCAACGAACTAAGCCACTTCCTCTTCCCCCCCCCCCGACCCCCACCTACCCCAAACTTTATCTCTAAATTTTTTATATCGTTAAACTTATTTATTTAATCCTAACATCAGCTAATTCTGTGAGTTTTGTGGAAAGTATGCGGTGAAGAGAAAAACTGTGGGTATTTGTGGCTATCCGAAGGCTGAGGGAGCAGATCGAGTTTTAGAGCAATCATCAGCCTTTCTTTGTATCTGCTTATGATTATCTATGGCATTTTGAAATCAGATCTATTTTTCAATTTTAAGACAATTTTTTATGTTCATGAACGCTCACAATTAGTCATTAGCTACTTTTGGGAAACTGGTCTATTTTGATAATGTTATTGATCTATATGGTCTTTTGATAATGTTACTAGCATGCTAAAGATGGTAAACCACCGTGAAAGATCCCCATTCTCTAATCGCCTTACTTTCTTGCTAAAACTTTGATGGAAAACAGCATCTGAAATGGGATGTTCAAGAAAAAAATAAGAACCTGATATTTACAAGCTAGTTTACAAAATATTTAGGGTCAAATTTTGTAGTTCGATAAACTATCTTCGAAGTTACAACGACATTCCTTTTTCTAGCATAAAATTCAAAGGCTTTATTTTGAATACAAAAAAGAAAGATAGTCTTGCAATTTGGGGTGAAGATGACAATGGAGCGGTAGGATAATGGGTGAAGAAGATTATGAAAGTTTGAAATAGTTTTTTTTTTCTTTTACTTTTTTCTTATCTCGAAGTTAGGGAAAATGGGTTATGGGTAAAAAAATTTGAAGGCGGATCGGGTGTTAAAATTTTAGAGTGAGTCTTTTTAATTTTAAAGTGTCACGTGATATTCCGTCAAAATTAGGGGTATTTTAACCTAATTATAACGGCAAAAAGCTAAATAACCAGAAGTGTAACGAAGTATAAGTTTAAACAATATTTGAAAGCAAAGAAATATATTAGACCATTTTTCCATTTTTTGTTGACTCAAATAATGGGGAAGAAGTCCACAAATATGCAGTTCTATCAAAGCTCTGCGACAATAATCTTCTACGCTTATTATTACTACTTCTCTTCAAACTCCATATATATAATTTATGATACTTCTTTAGGAGACTTAACAGTTAATATGATAAGTCGAGTGTTGTGCTGCTGGGTTCATCTGAATTCAATACTTCGATGTGAAATATATATTTTTGTGGAAAAAATATACTAAAATTGCAATTCATAATTTTAAAAACATAATTCATTCAAGTTGAAAATTTTAAATGTTAAATTCATAAAGTTTAAATCTTGAATTTACCTCCGGCTTTAAGTGTGTCCAACAATTGTAAATTTGTTCGGCTCTATAATTTTATTTGTACTAATAATTTCCCAAGTTGCACATGAAAATGGATATAAATTTTGAGCTAAAATTGGTCAAGTTCTTTTAACTTGTAATATTTCTACTAGCAATAAGATACAAAAAGGAATGAAAGCGGTAATAACTTTCATATTTTACCTTAAAGTTATAGTCTATACTTTTAATTCTTACAATTAAAGCTTTTTTATTTTCAAATATGTTTGTCAAAATATGGCCTAATAATTAATTAAGTTAGTATAAAATTATGATAGATCAAGTTGCATGATCTTTATAAATTTTTCTCTGTCTTGGGGGCAAAATACAAACACTAATTGTTCTATGTATAATCACTGCATGTTAGCATTGTCTGGAATTCTAAAGTTTCTAAAGTCAAATTTAACCTTATTGTTTTTGAAAAGAAGTTAGAAACAAAATGGCAGATATCTATATCTATATTATATTAAAAGTAGGAAGCCTTCTAACCAAAAGTTAAATTACTAAAATATCCTTTTAAGTACTAACATAAAACTCTAATTAAAAATAATAATAATAATAATAGATTTATTTGAAGGGATGCAATTCTTCGTATAAGTTACTAATTCAACTCACAAAAGGCTCCAGTTTTTCATTTGGTGTTAACCAGTGATACATTGGGAACAATTCATTATCTATAAACAAAAGGCCATCTTCAGAAACTTGGAACCAATTAAGATATCTCTAGCGCCTTTTCCGAAGTACAAAGATAAAGTAAGAGCTTTTGCTTTAATCCTCTTTCTAAGTCCAGTTAATTCTTTTTTCAATATTATGTATTTTCTTCGCCTTCACTTCAAATGGAGTAATTATTATATTTTCTTACTTTTATCTCTCTTCGGGTACTTGATAGTTAGAGTTTCACTGCGGCTTCTCACATTTTTATGTTTTTGCTGGGTGAACACCCATTATAGTATACCATAAGTCTTCGAACTAAAACCTATCTTGAAAAAGATAAATTGAATAATGCTAAAAAAATCTTGAAGAAAATAAATCATAAGGAAGAAAAATACAAGCATATATATATATATATATATATATATATATATATGTTACTTGGTAATCAACAGAGAAAAATAAAAATTATGAAATTAAGGTAAATAATTAGAAAAAACTTTTGACTTTTTGAGATTTTTTAATTTGAGAATTTACTATGAGTTAACTTTTGGATATTTAACTTTTCAAAAAAAAAAAGATTTATAAAGCAATTTTGGCTCAAATTTAGAAAGATTCTCAGGGCTTACATCCCAAATGAACACCCATAATGTTGAGCCTTAAACCTAGGCGAACGCCCGGGAGATTGAGTATTATGCTCCACGATATTTATGCCTCGGGGCATTTTTGGACGCTTCGTCCCGAAGCTCGCCCAAAAAACATCTTTGGAAACACTGGGTACTTGCATAATTCAAACTCTTATTTGCCCTCATAATGTTGTAATTCAAACAGTAATTTTTTCATATTAGGTTCTCAGAAACTAAAGAATTCGCATATAACAAATATTATAATTTTTAATTTGAAAAAGAAAATGCATGTCATTTAGTATTACTAAATTTAATTATAACAAATTAAAAGGAAAGTCTTGCATATCTCAAACTCTTATTGATCTTCGTAATATTGTAGTTTAGATTGTAACTTTTTCATTACTAGATTGTCCGAAACTACAGTATTTACATATTACAACTTAAAACTTGAAAAAAGGGATTGTTATTATGACTATAATAGTTTGATTTGCTGTAAAATCAAAATGTTTATTATTATTATTATTATTATTATTATTATTATTATTATTATTATTCTAAAGTTTGATAAGATAATGATTTAATACGTTTAATATTACAAGAGAAAAAAGAAGATAATGTCAAAATAATCTCAAAATAAGATATTTTAATTTAATTATTTAGTTAATTTTCATGAAAAATGGTCATTGACGTGTTATATGGATAAGTTGTATTTAAGCAATTTTAAATTTTAAGATATAAGTATAATCATAAATAGTTAGTTTAGGGGAGAATTAACGGTGAAATTCATGAAAAATAAAAAACGATAAACTTATCCTCTGTTTTTGGGATGTTGGAGTTTCAATTTACAAAGGTATTGTGCAAACAATCTTATGCAATTCACAAGTCTCTCGATTTTTATTGCACTTCAAGAGGGATATTAATGTAAATAACAAGAGTTTTGGTTATAAAAGAACAACTAAAACGGATGAAAGGAACATACACCGAAAATATCATTTAGGAAATATTATATGAGATACACCTTTATTATATAGTTGTATCACATTAAATTAAAATAAGTAAAAAATTTACATGCATTTAGTTAAAGTTTAGTTGTTCATCTCATAAACTCGGTGATATTCACTTATCTTAACCTTGACAAATAAGTTACCAAACGACGATCCACGTTAATCACTCATATAAACTTAAACTTTATCCTTTCATGTCTAATTATTTATGTAAAGCTTAATTTTAATAATATTGATATTATTTTACAAAATGATATAGTATATAACTAGATATACAGCTGAAAAACTAGTATTAATAAAAAAGGTATGTTTTAGTTTAAGAAGAAGATTACTTATCCCCGTAAAGTACGACGACCAGAAAACTACTGTCAGTCACATTATTCAAACAAAAGTGCTCGAGTCGTTCAACGCTTCCCACTCTCCAATGGCCGAAAACGCCGTCTCATCCAACTTCCCGGATTCCGTCAACGTTAACGGCGACTTCCCCGATGATTGTTTGCCGCCGGATCCGCTGTTACAATCCGGCACCTACATCCACGCCGATTCAAACGCAACCGTTGAGACCACACCGGAGAGGAGCCTACTAGATGAACCGCACGTGTCCGATCCAATGCCGGCGGCGGCTTCGACGGAAAGTACGGCGAAGATTCAAACGGTGTCGACCGAGCTGGTAACGCCTAAGCGGCGGCTGAATAAATCGGTGGAGGTAACGTCGGAGAGGCCGAGCTGGTTGCCTAAAATAAAGTTAGTAAAAAAGAAGGAAAGAGAAGCAAAACACAAAACTAGCTACACATATAGTCAACACCGTAAGCTCCCCGGCAACGACGCCAAAAAGTGATCACAGCAGACTCAACCTTAGGAAGAGTGGGCGCTAATACTTTTACCCAATAGTGGTATCGGGGTCAATTTTCACAGGGAGCTAGAAAGGGAGTTGGATATTTGCTTAGCCTAGAAATGCGTGATTGCTTCTAATTGATCTTCTAACATNCTCACAAGTTTGTCCATAGGTTTTGTGGAAATTATTGTTTTTTCCTTTTATGATAGTGCATCTACTTCTCTGTTTTCTTTAGATATGATTTACGGTCTGTCATTATTGGTTAGTTAATTCGTATGTTTTATTGGTGTGTTGTTGTGATTAATCTGCCACATGGTTTTATCATATTTGAGTGATACTGTCGTGTTAGAGCTTGCAGATTAGTGAGAAATGGAGATTACTAATGGATTAAACTGGCAATAAGCAATGGATTAGTTGCCAATTAGCAACAACTAGAGTGAAAATTGAATTGCTTGGTAATCCCCCCTTGCTGTTTGGAAAAGTTTAATACCAGATTTTGGACAATGACAGGCATCATACTGGGGCCTTGGTTAAGTTTTATAGGGAAAAGATAGCCTAAATTTTGTTACTTTGGATTCAAATTTATGATTAGGTACTTCAACAGAGATATCTTTGCAAAACTGAAAGTATTCAAGTGGAAACGCTTATTATATAACATGGAACATCCCTAGCTCTCCTTCAATAAATTTGCACTTTGTGGTGTATTTCAAGCTTTTGTCAGGAATGGTGATGGTATAAGTTGGGATTTCATCCCTATCTGAACATTCAATCTCCAGTCAAAGCTCTTTTTAGGAAGGGTGATCAGTACTTGATTCACAAAACTTTGCTGCAGTGAGATTGTTAGTGTTATCTGTAGAACAGGAAAACATATCTCTTTGAAGAGTTTTTGGACTTTGATTACTTGGCTATAACTGTGGTGATGAGATGATTTTCCATTGAAGGTGATGAGGGGAGCAAGTATCATTCTGACTCTTTGCTTACTTTTCAGACTCTTCTATGGGGACTATCTCTCGCTCCTTTCCAGGTCAAGTGATTTACATGAGGAAAGGAAAAACCTCTTCCTGACAAGTGCAATTTGTTATGACACTAGGACTTTAGGTTTGGAGGAACATATAATGAAATTTTAGATTTCATATATACTAATTAAAAACGATGAGAGTTTATTTTCCTAAGAAAAGAATACTTGTTTTCAAGTGGAAAGGGCAAGTAGAAATAGATGGTTGTGCACATGCTTTAAGCTAAACCTTTTGGCTTTTAATTTTCAATTTGTATTTGTTACTTGATTAAAGAGAAGTGTGACATTGATATGCTTTTGTGAATGATAGAATGGAGAGATTGCATGGTTTGTACTAAATCATACTCCCTTTGGCCAACATTTAGCCTGACTCCATATGGAGGCTAGCCAAATAAATATTAGAGTGGAGATGATAGATATCGTACAAGGATAAAAATCTGACAAAGATATAAATGTCTTATCAAGTGAAAAATATGTAAAAAGCTATTTGACTTCCTGTGATACGGCAAGATACTATAAGTTGTAGTAAAACTTGAGATTTACATCTATGGTTGAAAACAGTTTCGTTTAGTTTTTGCCAAAAAAAAGGACCTAAAAGGAGGGGAAAAAAAATCTTGGCGTTTGATTGAAAAACAGTTTTGCAAAAAACTTTCCATGTTTTGGTGTCATGTTCACGGTAATTCAGAGACGGGAGGTCAAGAGGGTAAGATATTTTGCTGACCATCTAGTATGAAACTTTTTCTTAGCCTTTTCCACCAAAATTAAAAGCTACGGAGTAATAACAAACTCCAGGGAACCACAAATAAGTTTTCGATATCTTTAGTTGGTTCTTCTTATCTTATTAGAAAACAAAAGATACCTTTAATAATTCCTATGCCATTTCCCGCTTTTCACCCCAATCAAAGGACCAGTTGAACTCTTTAATATAGCCTGTCTAGTCTGATCCCTTTTGTTTTTTGGCGAGTGAATCATGAAGCATCTATGTAAGCAAATATTGTCTTCATAATCATAACTACAACTCTTATAATGAATCATGATCATAACTAACCAGTCTGTTAAGTTTTTTGTACTTTAAACAAACTTCTCGTTTGTTTAATCTGTCTGATGTAAGATATCCTTCCTATAGCGTCAGTACGGTGCTTGTGCATTTAGATAAAGCATGAAACTTTTGCGCTCAACCCATTGATGTAATGAGAAGGAAATCGAGGTAGAGTTCAATTTGATGACCTGGTGTGCTCAAGAAAAAAGAGCAAAAGATGATATTGTGTTTATTGAAGGGCAATCACAAAGACCTTCTGGAAGTACAGGAGGCAATGAAGGTGAAGTGTGTAATCGTTCATCTCCCCTTAATGGGCAGCGTTATCCAAATATCTATACTAGTGAGAGGATGCAAGTACCCTGGGAACAGTCGACGTGTGGCCAAGTTATCCGAGACACCACCGTTACTCCAAAAAGAAATTGAATCTTCCATCTTTTAATGGCTGTATGATGTTGCTCACATCAAGGAAATAATTGCTTGCGTAGGTAACTTGTGTTGTGTGGACAGAACCTCTTCTGCTCTCTCTTATCTCACTTTGCTCTTCTTTGTAATCTCCTGTGATTTGTCCCTTCATGTTTTGTTGTTTCAGATTTGTTATTTGTGAGAGTTGTATTTCTTGTTTCCTTCCAGTTGCAGGTGGTGGAAAATTATTGAGTTGGTTTAGTTGAAAATACTACTACATCATGCTCTTTCAATTTGCATTCTTATTGTTTTGCAGTCGCTGACATAGCATTTGGCCTGCGTGTCTAATTGTTTGTGCCCTGGATTCTGCAGTACTTTTTTGAACCTGTGTCAGGGCGTAAATTCCGGTCAAAAGTTGAGGTGCTTTATTTCCTGGAAACAGGTGGCAAGCGCAAGAAGGGAAACACTGGCAGTGAAGCTACAGTGAGTGAATCAAAACATTAATGGCGTACTACTCTTCCCTTTGCCAGAAAGAAACTTACATCTTCGTTTGTGTTTTGATGGTACAATCTTTTTTCAGCCATCTGAAACCTCTAAGAGCCAAAAACAGAAGAAGGGTGGCTCAAAAACACAGAAAATTACCTCTTTTTACTTCGACTCTGGGAATCCGCCACATAGTGTATGCTGGGTTCAGACGGACGGTTTTGCAGATACCTGGGCACCTTCTTGTAACGGTGGCATGATTCCTGAACGCAGAAGACAAGAATGGGTTGCTGTCTTCTCAAGTGTATCCCAGCTACGGCGAAGGAATGTGTAAATTTTTTGTTAGGGAGATAGGAGGCTCTAACTTGCACTAACCAGTTCACACACTTTCTCCATATGTCTATCGTGTGTCAAATCTCATCTGAATTGGCCTTACTTCTTGGGTTTTAGTGCAGAGACCGCATAGTTCATAGCTTTTTGTTTGCCGAAGGAGTAGGCAAAAGTAGCTCACCTAAAATATGTTCCTGATGTAGTATGGTATGTTCTTGGTCCCTCGATTGCTTAGTTGAACTCTTATTTATTTTGAAATTAGGTTCAAGACCTGCTTTACGAACTACTATTAACCTGTGGGTTTTGAGCATTTAGCTAGGACTAGGATATATATTTGAGATAATTGTTAGGAGTGTACGAAAATACTGGCTATTGAGTACCGGGGGGGGGGGGGGGGGCGCTAAATGCTTGTGAAGTTGCACCATATTACATAGTGTGGTAAGTTAAAAGGATTACAAATGACATTATTTGCATAGATAATCGGATTACTCACAGAGGTTGGGTTATTTATCTTTTAAATGAAATTTTCATTGTGTACCTTTGATTGAGTGCGCTTCATTTAATTCAATTTCTCTCAATGATATAACTAAATTATTTTGGTGACAAAGACGAAAAGGAATCGATACTTAGTAAAAATTCTTTCAATGCGGGACGACAAGCCACAAGGTGCTCTTTTTCCTGGTCAACTTCTCCTGTTTTGTACTGGATTTCTGGAAAGGTCAAATCTTGTTTTATAGAATTTTATATTATCTGTATTATCTTCCCTGCATTAATGGGTTGTGTAAATTGGAGAGGAGCAATGAATAAAGTTAAAAGAGACAATTACATCTTTAGCTCCTCAATTTCATTTTTTTTTAAAGTTTTAATCCTCTTAGACTCTTGAGTATTCGGCTATACAGCAATTAATCCTTAGCTAGGAGTAGTTGATGCGTACTTTTGGTCCTGAGTTGGAGAAAATTATTGTGTAGATGATCTTTTACCATTAGTTTTCACTGCCAATTACCATCATTAAACACCGTCATTATCAGCTATCACCGCACAATGACACCAACTGCCTCCATCACCAACCATCTCCATCAACAGCTTTTATTGCACCCCCATCACTACGAAACACCACCACAAATCCTCACCATAGCAAACCATCATCGTCAACTATTATTTCTAGTCGCAATTACGTATCACCGGACAAGCATCATTGCCAGCCACTTCTACCAATCACAACACTAACAGTCACTATTTATTGTTGACCATCACTATTACTAACTGCCATCGTCACTGGCTTTTTATTGTGTTTCTTCAAACAAATAATTTTTACATCTGTATACGATGGAAATCGGTGCTATCCGATTTCGTTCTTCGATGAAAAAAGTGATACCACGTCGGAATACTCTCGTACGTTGAGCTCGGGGTTGAAGTTTCTTTCCAAGGTCGAGGTCGATAACACTTACCGGGGTCAGAAGAAAGCATGCTTCGAGATGGTGCCGGTATGATTCAGTAAAGGAAAGAGCGAGATATCTACAACGGACAATTGTCATATATGATTTCCTACTATAATTAGAAGTGTGCCTTATTTAGGACTCCCCTATTATATAAAGGGGGATCCCAATCATTTGTAAGGGGCATTGTTCATTGATAAGAAAATATACGCACATTACTCTCTTGTTGTTTCACTGTTCATCAGAGTTGCTTTATATTTTGCTATTCCTATTATCACACCTCGAGACTATCTCAGGTCGAGGTCGAGATTTGGCTTATATACTGGTTTGGTCTACTTTGTTCTCTAATTTATCTATTTAATCCCTTGTTTATCAACTAGCATTGAATTAAATTGCATATCCTTAAAACCACAATACAAGTTTAATTGTTACTCGAATTTTAGGGTAAACAGTTTAGCTTCCGCTGTGGGGCTAAGGATAATAGTGATTGTTTAAGTGCTGATTCTGATAACACACATTATTTCACACTTGTTCTTGTTAAGTATTTTTGCTCTCGGGTTAAAACATGTCAAACTCCCAAAACGCACTCGTACACACGGTGATGATGGTCTAGGATTTCAAGGGGAAACGACAATGTAATTCCTCCAGGAGCCGGGGTGCCACCGGCTAGTCTCGAAGGAGCACCGGTCGACGATCCAGTCGATACCAGTGCACACGTTGCTCTAAATGCGGACCTAGGCGCGGACCCCGAAGGGAGTGTACGCAGGGAAGGCCGATCTAGTGGTCAAGGTACGCGGGCAAAGGGGACGGAGGAGTTAGTCTCCAAGTGAAAGGTTTGACCAAGTTTTGACTTGTTAGCATCTGATCTCGGATTGGAATTTTTATGATTTGGTTAGCTCCGTTAGGTGATTTGGGACTTAGGAGCGTGATCAGAATGTATTTTGGAGGTCCAGAGTAGATTTAGGCTTGAATTGGCGAAATTGGAATTTTGGCGTTTTCCGGTTGATAGGTGAGATTTTGATATAGGGGTCGGAATGGAATTCTGGAAATTGAAGTAGGTCCGTTGTGTCATTTGGGACGTGTGTGCAAAATTTCAGGTCATTCGGATGAGGTTTGATAGACTTTTTGATCGAATTCAGAATTCGGAAGTTTTGAAAATTCTTAGGCTTGAATCCGAGGGTGATTCGATGTTTTGATGTTGTTTTGAGCATTCCGAAGGCCGGAACAAGTTTGAATGATGTTTTAGGATTGGTTGGCATGTTTGGTTGAGGTTCCGGGGGCCTCGGGTGAGTTTCGAGGTGGTTCCGGACCATTTCTAAGCTATTTTTAGCTGCTGGTTTTTGGCTACAGCAGTGTTCTACGCGATCGGGGAATTGGACAACAATCGCGATGAGTAAATTGCGAAAAAAAATGTCAGTGCTTCACGATCGCGGATGAACCTTCGCGATCGCATAGAGTAAATATTCTGCTGCACTGATCCAACTTTGGAAGCTTATGTCTCACAATCTATAATGAATTTGGAGATGATCTAAAAATGAAAGTTGTAGCCCTTTGTGTCTAGTTTTCAGAAATGTAAATTAATTAGAATTTTAAGTTGTGTACAAAACGTTATGGTGGTTACACTATAGGCTGTCCGGGAAGGGTTTAGAAATCTCTAATGCACAGGGCTGACTTTGGAAGCTTATATCTCGCAATATATAAAGAGTCAGGAAATGAGCAACATATTAAATTATAGCCCTTGGTGTCTAGTTTTCAGAACATCAAACCATTTGTCATTTGGAGTTGTGTGCAAAAAGTTATGACCATTACACTGGAGGCTGTCCGGAAGAGCTGGGAACTTGTTCTTCGCGATCGCGAAGCGTTGTCCGCGATCGTGAAGGGCAAATTTTGGGCTGAGAAAAGTTGTGCTTCGCGATCGCAAAGCATTTTCCGCGATCGCGAAGAGTATATGCCTGGGCAGAATGTTTTAAAGACCCGTTCCACGACTTTGAACCCTTTTTACACCATTTTTGAACGGAAAAAGAGCTTGGAGGCGATTTTGAAGAGAGGAACTTATTGTTCTTCATTGAGGTAAGGATTTTGGACCCTAAAACTTGATTAGTTGTGATTAAGGAATGAAAATATCAGTGTAAATTCATGAAAATCAGTAGAAAAAGGTGGAGTTAGGACTTGAGATTATGAGACCTTCTAGGGATGATTTGAGGGGTCAAACGAACTCCGATTTTCGAGTTCTTTATATGGACGGACTCGTGAGATGATGAAGAACATTTTGGTATAAAGTTTTTCCAGTTCCGGGATGCGGGCACGGGGGTCGAGTTTTGAATGATTTCGGGTTTTATGCTTAAAATCGATATTTTTCAATTGGAATTCATTCGTTTAGCATAATTTAATGATAAAAATCTGAAATTGGTAGATTTGGAGCAATCGGAAGTCGTTTCGAAGGGCAAAGGCATTGCAAGCTAGATTTCGGGCCGGATTGAGGTGAGTAATGATTTTAAATGCTGTCCTGAGGGTATGAAACCCCGGATTTCACAGCGTACGGTTATGTTGAGGTGACTTATTACACGCTAGATGACGAGCGTGGGGTAGAGCACGTTGGGAATTGTGACTTAGTCCATCCCGAATGATTATTTTACTGCGTATTTGATAGTAATTGGTTGATATTATTATATTTGGGCAAAATGCCATATGTGGGCTTCGTGCCAGCTGTTTGAACCCTTAGGGGATAGTTTAAATGATATTTTCCTCACTAATTGATTTCATACCGGTGTTCTGTCATACTATATTTTACTATTTTAAAGACTCAACTGTATTATTCTGTTTTAAACACATTAAATGATATTTTCAAAGGTATTTGAGCTGAGCTTCATATTTTACTGTGGCCCGAGGGGCTTATGAGATTCTGACTGAGTAAGGCCGAGGGCCTGTGTTGTGAGGATACATTTGGGTCGGGCTGCACGCCGCAACAGTGATACATTGATTATGATAATGAGTCCGAGGGCCTGAGATTGTACGCCATGAGGTGGCTTGAGATATTGATATGAGGCCGAGAGCCTGTTTATGATGCCACGAGATGGCTTGATATTGCGCTTGGGCCGTAAGGGGCCCCTCCCGGCATCTGTACACCCCCAGTGAGCAGGGGTACCCATTGTGATATGAGATATAGCCCGAGGGGCTGGTATTGTTCTGTGACATTTGCCCGAGGGGCTGATTCTGCTGTTACTGTGCCTGAGGGTCTGTTATTATGTGTTTGCTCTTCTGTTGTTTTCTTGCATATTGTTTAACTGTTTGGAAGATGTTTACGAGATTTTACTGTTTAATTATAATTACTGATTTGTTATGCCTCTTGTAGCTTAATGTTGTGCCTTACGTGGATTTATATTACTCAGTCTTCATTTATTTTTATTACTCACTGAGTTTGGAAGTACTCACTTTACTCCCTACACCTTGTGTGCAGATTCAGGTATTTCTGAACCCGGTAGCGGGTTGGTTGCTCAGAGGCAGAGTCATCGGAATTTAGCAAGGTAGCTGCCCGACGTTCGCAGCACTGCTTTTCTCCCTCTCGATTTCACTAGAATGTATCTAGTACATTTTATACTCTTGTTGTATTCGGACCTTAGTAGATGCTCATGACTAGTGACACCCCGATGTCGGGCTGTGTTGGGTTTGTGTTCCGCAAATTATACTGTTAACTGCTTATTTTTGAGATTTTATCATGTTTACGACTTAATACTTATTATGTCACTGCTTAAGACTGGAATGGGAGTGTGTCGGCTGGCCTTGTCTTCACGAGAGGCGCCATCACGACCGGGTCTAGGTTTAGGGTCGTGACACACTCGCCGTACCGAGC